TAGACCCAGGACTGAGGCTGTAGACCCAGAACTGAGGCTGTAGACCCAGGACTGAGGCTGTAGACCCAGGACTGAGGCTGTAGATCCAGGACTGAGGCTGTAGATCCAGGACTGAGGCTGTAGATCCAGGACTCGGGTCTGTAGATCCAGGACTCGGGTCTGTAGATCCATGACTGAGGCTGTAGACCCAGAACTGAGGCTGTAGACCCAGGACTGAGGCTGTAGATCCAGGACTGAGGCTGTAGATCCAGGACTGAGGCTGTAGATCCAGGACTGAGGCTGTAGACCCAGGACTCAAGCTGTAGATCCAGGTCTGAGGCTGTAGATCCAGGACTGAGGCTGTAGACCCAGAACTGAGGCTGTAGACCCAGGACTGAGGCTGTAGATCCAGGACTGAGGCTGTAGATCCAGGACTGAAGCTGTAGATCCAGGTCTGAGGCTGTAGATCCAGGACTGAGGCTGTAGACCCAGGACTGAGGCTGTAGACCCAGGACTGAGGCTGTAGATCCAGGACTGAGGCTGTAGATCCATGACTGAGGCTGTAGATTCAGGACTGAGGCTGTAGATTCAGGACTGAGGCTGTAGACCCAGGACTGAGGCTGTAGATCCAGGACTCAGGTCTGTAGACCCAGGACTGAGGCTGTAGACCCAGTTCTGAGGCTGTAGACCCAGGACTGAGGCTGTAGACCCAGTTCTGAGGCTGTAGACCCAGTTCTGAGGCTGTAGACCCAGGACTGAGGCTGTAGACCCAGTTCTGAGGCTGTAGACCCAGGACTGAGGCTGTAGACCCAGTTCTGAGGCTGTAGACCCAGGACTGAGGCTGTAGACCCAGTTCTGAGGCTGTAGACCCAGGACTGAGGCTGTAGACCCAGTCTGTCTGACCACATACAGTATCAGTCTTGAAATTTTCATACATATTTATTGGAGCTTCAGGCCCAGATTCCTGTCACTCAGCGTCACACTCACTCAGAGCCAGATCCAAAAGGCCAAGGATTTCCCAGCAGCCCCTGATGTAACAGGCCCCCCGGGCGTCAGCGGTGCACAGGTGGACACGTTTATCACACACAAAGAAGAAAGACAAACAAGGCCGCCCTCCATCACAGCACAGCCTTTGTTTAAAGCTGAGGTACCTAATTTATCGCCCTAAATCACAACAGTAGTTTTCTCGGAGGACAAGAAATGCAATGATTTAAAACACACAGAGATATTGGTCCATAAGAAGCGGAGACCAGTGTCCATAAATGTCCTGGATCACCAACACTGTCCTTAGATCTATGGAGGATCTATTGTCTGTGACATTTTAATGTAGCAATATGTACGATTTTCATGTCAAGTCATCATTAAAGGGCCCTAATCTGTCATCACCAAAGGGCCCTAATCTGTCATCATTAAAGTGACCTAATCTGTCATCATTAAAGGGCCCTAATCTGTCATCATTAAAGGGCCCTGATCTGTCATCATTAAAGTGACCTAATCTGTCATCATTAAAGTGACCTAATCTGTCATCATTAAAGGGCCTTAATCTTTCTTCATTAAAGGGCCCTAATCTGTCATCATCAAAGGGCCCTAATCTGTCATCATTAAAGGGCCCTAATCTGTCATCATTAAAGGGCCCTAATCTGTCATCATTAAAGGGCCCTAATCTGTCATCATTAAAGGGCCCTAATCTGTCATCATCAAAGGGCCCTAATCTGTCATCATTAAAGGGCCCTAATCTGTCATCATCAAAGGGCCCTAATCTGTCATCATTAAAGGGCCCTAATCTGTCATCATTAAAGGGCCCTAATCTGTCATCATTAAAGGGCCTTAATCTTTCTTCATTAAAGGGCCCTAATCTGTCATCATCAAAGGGCCCTAATCTGTCATCATTAAAGGGCCCTAATCTGTCATCATCAAAGGGCCCTAATCTGTCATCATTAAAGGGCCCTAATCTGTCATCATTAAAGGGCCCTAATCTGTTATTAATAAAACATGCTCTTTTCAAATACTTCTTTAACTGATAACAATAGTTCTGCCAAGATTTTAGAATTTCCAGATTAGTTTTCCAGTCCCTAAATCGTGTTCTTGTTTTCATGTCGATGTCCCGCCCTCCACCGTTTGACCAATAAGAAAGTCTGTGATCCGGGCGCCAGAACTCACCGAGTCATGCTAATCTCACTGGTAAAGTACCATGTGGCGCAGAACTAAAAAACGGTCTCGTTATGAATCTCTAATCATTAATAATAAAACAAGGAATAAAACCAGGATTTCTATCTTTGTGAAAAAGGTGTTGGTTATAGATTTGTTGTTGACAAAACTCAGCTGTTATGGTCCCAGCTGGATTCGTCTGCATATCTGGCAACCTGAGTCAGGGAGAGTGGGAGAGGCTGCAGTACCACTTTTGGACAGATTTTTTCATACTGCTCCTTTAAATGAGCTTGAACTTTTCCATTTGAAAAGCTTAACCCTGAAAAGCATGTTTTAATACTTTTGTCTTAGCATTTCAGTCACTAGAAAATCTGTCTATGTTTTCCTCAAATTCAATGCACTGTGAAATTTGATGAAAAAAAGTATATATTGTACCATCAGATTTAAAATTTTAACTGGACCTGAAAACCTCTATTTGGATTTTATCATTTTGAATATTTTTGTCTGCGAATTTCAGTCACTGATAATCATTTCCATAGTGTTTTAATCTCAAAATAAAATAAAAAATCCCCTTCACGCTAAATTTGGCCGTGCAAAAATCTGGTGTTCTGTCGAGTTGGTTTTGTTGTTTAGTGACTTATCAGGCTCACATGTCTGGACCACTATCTGCCCCCACTTTCCTCCCTCTGTTCCTGGGAAAGTCCCTCCTCACCCTCAGCCCCGGTGCTTTCTCTGCTCTCGCCTGCAGTCTGCTGGAGTCCTGGATCACAACACCCAGAGGAACTGTAGGAACCTAGATCCAGGACTGAGGCTGTAGATCTAGATCCAGGACTGAGGCTGTAGATCTAGATCCAGGACTGAGGCTGTAGATCCAGGACTGAGGCTGTAGAACCAGGACACAGGCTGTAGATCCAGGACTGAGGCTGTAGAACCAGGACTGAGGCTGTAGATCCAGGACTCAGGCTGTAGACCCAGGACTGAGGCTGTAGATCCAGGACTGAGGCTGTAGAACCAGGACACAGGCTGTAGAACCAGGACTGAGGCTGTAGACCCAGGACTGAGGCTGTAGATCCAGGACTGAGGCTGTACCAGGACACAGGCTGTAGGTCCAGGACTCAGGCTGTAGACCCAGGACACAGGCTGTAGAACCAGGACTCAGGCTGTAGACCCAGGACTGAGGCTGTAGGTCCAGGACTCAGGCTGTAGAACCAGGACTCAGGCTGTAGAACCAGGACTCAGGCTGTAGATCCAGGACTCAGGCTGTAGACCCAGGACCGAGGCTGTAGATCCAGGACTCAGGCTGTAGATCCAGGACTCAGGCTGTATATCCAGGACCCAGGCTGTAGATCCAGGACTGAGGCTGTAGATCCAGGACTCAGGCTGTTGAACCCTTCCTTGAGCCCAGAGGTGGTACAGACCGCTGTAGGAGGCAGACTCAATACTCGCAGCCTGTTTGTTTCTCAACTGCAGTCGGAGGAACAAAGAGGAGCAGGAGGAGTGCAGATGAGAAGGTTGTGGAGACACAGACGAGGGTTTGATCTGAAGACACCAAAGCTCAGAGCTGAGAGAGAGAGAGAGAGAGAGAGAAAGAGAGAGAGAGAAAGAGAGAGAGAGATAATGAGGGTGAGGTGGAGAGGGAGGAGGGGAGTCATGGAGAAGACAAAAGAAGTTTGGGGAGTGTGTGGGGAAACAGCGTTTGAATGAAGACTTATTTAGAAAAGCCAGAAATGTATTTTGACACTTAATTTTTTAAAAGCTGACACGGGCCTAAAAAACACTCCAGCCTTTCCCACGGTAATCCCGGGTCCACTGAAAAAACACAGAAGAAGCCGTGTTCTGGTGTGTTGTTTGGTTCATCGTCTCAGTTCAGGTGGGTCTGGTTCCATAAATTAGAGAGGATTTTTTCTTGGGTTCAATTCTATTTGAATCATTTTTATGTATTTTTTGTATAGGCCTAAATCACAGCAGCAGTCGTCTCAGAGGATTTTACAAAGTTTTTTTATTCCTCAACAACAGATGAGAGAAGAAAACAGTTAGAGCACAGGAAATGCAATAATAACAAACACATAGGAGCCATTGGTCCAATGGGAGAGGACTGACCACTGTCTGTAAATGTAAATACATGTCCTTAGACCAGTGTTTCTCTACCAGTGTGCCTTGAGACTTCCATCATCATCTAATTGGTCCAAATGATGTGAAAAGAAAACAATGTAAAAGGATTAGATCAAATTATTGAATCTGTTTGATTTTTTATTTAATACACCTTGATAACAATGACTTTGCTTTCTTACTAAAGGCTGCAGATTTATATTTTGCATCAGTTGTAGCTGGTGGTATACCGTGAGATTTTTTTCTATGAAATAGTTGTGCCATGGGTCAAAAAGTTTGGGGAACACTGTCTTTGACCCAGTGGGGGCGGGTCCCGGCTCAAAAGTGGCCAAAATGACATGTGCTGACATGCTGCAATACCTCCCCGGGCCGATGGGGGTGGACCCGGAATAAGAATTATTCAATGCTAACATATAGCATTAGCTGACCTCTCGAAAACGTCTTTACAGGATGGTCCAAAAGTTGGACCAGTTTAGTTTAGTTGCTGTGAATTTTTGAAGTCTCTCGTTTAAATGAATGGGGCTCGTGCAGCTGATGCATGAGCAGATGCGTTTTTTCACATTTTCCAGCCCCCGCGGCCATTTTGAATCACTCCAAGAAAGCCCAATTTTTGGCCCATTAGGTAGAACGGCAGAGATAGGCGTGACTACGTCCGTATATATATACAGTCTATGCTTAGACCATACTGCACATAGACACACAAAGCAAACGAAACCAGCATCCATTCCACACTGTAACGTCCCTTCCTCTGTTGTTATTTCCAGCTAACGGCTACATCAGTGCGCGGGCCTCCCCTGGTCTGCTCTCAGTCTCCAATGGGAACAGCATGGGCAAAGCCAAGTCCCCACCGCCCCACAGTCCTCAGATGGTCAACAGCCGCAAACCGGACCTAAGAGTCATCACCTCCCAGGGCGGGAAGAGCCTCATACAACTGGTGAGAAACAAGCTAACCACAGCTAACCACTGCTAACCACAGCTAACCAAAGCTAACCACAGCTAACCACAGCTAACCAGTACAGACACGTTTACGAAAACCCAGTCTGGATACACAAAAGATGATGTGTTTTGTGATAAGATGAAGACTGTAATTTCTGGACTATAATATAAGCCTCATATTGTTTCCAATTCTTTGGTCGCTGCGGCTTATATATCCATGTGGCTGCTTTAGTTTTAGTAGCTATTGGACACTTTTTTATTGCCAAAACAAAAGAAGGTCAATGAGTCATGGAAGCTAACTCGCGGAAGCTAACGGTGAATGAGTCATAAAAGCTAACGGTGAATGAGTCATAAAAGCTAACGGTGAATGAGTCATGGACGCTCACTCACGGAAGCTAGCATGAATTAGTGGAATGAGTCATGGACGCTCACAACATGGAAGCTAACGTTGAATGAGTCATAGAAGCTAACGGTCAATGAGTCATGGAAGCTAACGTTGAATGAGTCATGGAAGCCAACGTTGAATAAGTCATGGAAGCTAACAGTGAATAGATCATGGAAACTATCGTTGAATGAGTCATGGAAGCTAACGGTGAATAGATCATGGAAACTATCGTTGAATGAGTCATGGAAGCTAACGGTGAATGAGTCATGGAAGCTAACAGTGAATGAGACATGGAAGCTAACGGTGAATGAGACATGGCAGCTAACAGAGAATGAGTCATGGAAGCTAACGGTCCTGTTGTGTCCAGTTAAAACAGTCGTTACAACATGAAAACCTCTTCTGATAATCAAGTGTGTCCTAAATGTGATTTTATTTTGAAATTTAGCTGGTGCGGCTTATACACAGTTGCGCCTTATAGTCCAGTAAGTACGGCATATGTGCTACGTATGCTAGAAAAGTTAGGTAACAAAGCTTTTAAGGCAAAACTAGCTAATTATTGCCAACTTCGGTCCAACTGAGCCTGATCTCTCTATTCATAAACGCGTCAACAGAAAACAATATTGATTTCTGTTTACAGTAAGTGTCTCAAATCAAAGTCATTATGTGAGAAAATAACACGCCATCAAATAAATCTATTACCGTTTCTTTTAAAAGATTCAGTTGTTTGTGAGCGTCTGGTTGAATGAGGAGAAGTCTCTCGGGGTCGACTTCCTCATTAAGCAACATTCAAACAGGAAAAAGAAAAACACACTTCTTTCTAAAATCACAAATAAAAGCTGCGATTAGCGGAAAAGCTCTTTCTCTCCCGATGAAATGTAATAGATTTAGAACATAAACATACAAAGGTAATATTCATGAAGAAGTGTACATTACTTCATGAATGATCTGCTAAACACTAGTCCTCCCAGAGCAGTCAATTTGACGGCTTTTCTTTGGAAGTGAGATTACTCAGTTAATGTTTGGTTTTCATAACTTTATACCTTTTTCTGTTTCTTTGAGTAATTTAGTTTTATGTCATTGTTTTCTAAGAAATTTTCCTTCGATTTAGAAATGGAGTGGAGAAGGACAAGCGCTAGTAACCATAGCAACAGTCTGTTAACTTAGCTACCAGTTGGGATTAGCATTACCAGTTAGCATTAGCATGTCAACAAACTTTTTTTTGCTAATGTTAACTTGCAACCAGTTAGCATTAGCATTACCAGATAGCATTAGCATTACCAGTTAGCGTTAGCATTTCAACAAACGTTTCGTATTGCTGTATTTTAAGTTACATTCACCAGTTTTAGCACTTACGGAAAGTGAGTAAAGGGTACATTTGGATAAAGTTGACAGTAAACTCACTTTTCAGAATTCCATCTGAATGGGAACGGCTCTGGGATCCAAGTGTTAAAGGTATAGGCCACTGTTTTTACATACTGACATATGTTCTTACCTCACCTTAGACTAGTTGATATGTACCTGCAGCCTCTTCCACAGACTGTATAGTTCCAAATCAGCTCCTGTTAGAAGCTACCAAACTCTTCCACCTGTTCCCTATTTAAATACAGGAGCGCTTCGGCCGCGCACTAACTCCACAAGACTTCTCTCCCGCTCACTTCCGACAATAGAAGCAGCGTCACTTGTTGGAGTTAGTGCGCGGACAAAGCGCTCCTCGTATTATTACGCCTCTCAATATAGTACCCTTTTTATCCGCTGAGAAAATCGACATGTTACATTTCTGTGTTACTATACTTTGTAGTGTAACACGTCACATAACTGTATTTAAATAGGGAACACGTGGAAGAGTTTGGTAGCTTCTATCGGGAGCTGATTTGGAACTATACAGTCTGTGGAAGAGGCTGCGTTTGTGCTCCGTTTGACAAAGACCACACAGGTACATATCAACTAGTCTAAGGTGAGAACATGTGTCAGTATGTAAAAACGGTGGCCTATTCCTTTAAACTCAATGTGATACTGTATCTTTATGTATATTGTGTGTGTGTTTGTGTGACGGATTGTTTATCGAGAAAGAAAATTCCTGTGGTTGTGTTCTTGCTGATGGGAGATCCTATGTAATGTGTTATTGGCTTATAGCAGGTTCTAAATGATGGTTAACTGTGTATTTTCACCCACAATGGATCAACTTTTATAATGTGTTATTGTGACAGGCCTCATCACCGGGTTTCTGCGGGATAACGCCTTGAATATATCTTCCAACTGAAGGCCACACAGAGAAAATAATTCTACAAATTCTATTTATAGAAAAGTCAATAATTTCAGGAAGCAAAATTGTTATTTCATATTGACATTAGGTATGAGACATATTTCGAGCTTTTTAGTGGGTCCACTTTCTGAGACGATTCAACAAATATTTGACTTTACTTTTGACTGTTTTTATTCTAACGTCATACGAGACACAGAAAGACACAATAAATTCTATCGTGGGAGAAAAACATACACAATATATGCTTACTAGTAAAAAAAAGCTGTCACCACCTGTTTTTCATATATTTTCTATCTTAAATTTCTCTTAAAGGAGACATCATACTGTATGAAAAAAAAAACATGGTCAAAAACAGACATGGAGTTGTTTTTACTTTACCTTTAAACTTGACTTACCCTCTCCTGCAGAAACCTTGGTAATATCGCTACACCAGGGGTCTCCAACCAGTAGCTCACCCACCCTTCCAGGTAGCTCCCTAAAGGGTTTAGAAAATGATAAATCAAATAATATACTGAATACTTGATAATAAATAACGACGGCCCCGGATACCAGGCCCATCCTAGCCAATATATTACCTAATTTTTTCCCGGACCGGTAATTGTTTTGCCTTTTTCCCCTTGGCAAAGTAGCTCTCTGGGTGAATAAGGTTGGAGACACCTGCTCTACACGCACCCTCATTAAAAAACAAATCCAAGATGGCCGCCGCTGCCCGTCCTCTCTCCGCGCTGACGTGTACGCGTGTGTGTGTGTGTGCGCGCGCCTGTATGTGTGTGAGTGTGAGAACCTATGGCCTCAGCTGTTGTTGCTCTGATATATAACGCTGGTGTCTTCTTGCCCTGTCCCCCACAGACAGAGGAAGAGCTGGAGCTGGTGAGCGAGGTGAATAGTCCCCCATAATGAGCCGTGCATGAGGGTCCACTGTCACCTGCACATGTCACCCCCTCACCGCATGCTTGTCTCGGCCTGCCCTGAATAAGCCGCTGTGGGAGTGTGCATGAGGATTATGTGGCAGAGCGGAGAGCACCTGCCATTGTGTGTGTCAGTGTAGGGAGGGAGACAGGTTAGCCAGAAGAATTATGCAATATTTCTCTAGATTCAGAGAGTGGAGCGCCCTGTCGCTGCAAGAACATCTTTACATTCGACTTATATGGCGTATAGGCGTACGTCACAAGAGTGGCTGTCTGTGAGGATTTTACAGAGTGGCCGATTCACCAACAAAGGATAAAAAGAATAAAACATAACAAACACACAGGAGTCGTTGGTCCATAGGGAGCGGGACGACCACTGTCCAGAAATGTTGATAATAAATGTCCTGGATTGTCACTGTACGTAGCCCATTCTGCATCAGCAAGGAACCACTCAAAAAGAAATTTGGGAAGAAAGTGAGATACCTTGGGAAAGACTGGTCTGTAGACGCCTATGGAAGTCTGTAGGAGCCTATGGAAGTCTGTAGGCGCCTATGGAAGTCTGTAGACGCCTATGGAAGTCTGTAGACGCCTATGGAAGTCTGTAGGAGCCTATGGAAGTCTGTAGGCGCCTATGGAAGTCTGTAGACGCCTATGGAAGTCTGTAGGAGCCTATGGAAGTCTGTAGGAGCCTATGGAAGTCTGTAGGCGCCTATGGAAGTCTGTAGACGCCTATGGAAGTCTCTAGGAGCCTATGGAAGTCTCTAGGAGCCTATGGAAGTCTGTAGACGCCTATGGAAGTCTGTAGGAGCCTATGGAAGTCTGTAGGAGCCTATGGAAGTCTGTAGGAGCCTATGGAAGTCTGTAGACACCTATGGAAGTCTGTAGACACCTATGGAAGTCTGTAGGAGCCTATGGAAGTCTGTAGGAGCCTATGGAAGTCTGTAGACGCCTATGGAAGTCTGTAGACGCCTATGGAAGTCTGTAGACGCCTATGGAAGTCTGTAGGAGCCTATGGAAGTCTGTAGGAGCCGGTCTGTAGGAGCCTATGGAAGTCTGTAGACACCTATGGAAGTCTGTAGGAGCCTATGGAAGTCTGTAGGAGCCTATGGAAGTCTGTAGGAGCCTATGGAAGTCTGTAGACACATATGGAAGTCTGTAGACGCGTAATAAAGTCTGTAGACGCCTATGGAAGTCTGTAGATGCCTATGGAAGTCTGTAGACTCCTGTGGAAGTGTGTAGACGCCTGTGGAAGTCTGTAGACTCCTATGGAAGTCTGTAGACGCCTATGGAAGTCTGTAGACGCGTAATAAAGTCTGTAGACGCCTATGGAAGTCTGTAGACGCCTATGGAAGTCTGTAGACGCCTATGGAAGTCTGTAGACGCCTGTGGAAGTCTGTAGACGCCTGTGGAAGTCTGTAGACGCCTATGGAAGTCTGTAGAATCATGCTCTTTCTCTTCTTCGCAACGTTGCTTCCTCTTCACACCTTCCACCGCTGACGCCCCACAAACACGCACACACACACACACCACACACACCACAAACCTCGCCGTTACCGTGCCAACGCCACCTCGAGACGCGAGACAATTCTCATCCTGCTCTCCCATGTTGGAGTGTCACCCGAGTTTAAACATCTCCGGCAGGAAGCGTTCTTCAAAGTGCCAAAAGGGGAAAGACGGCGGAAAGTGCTGTTTGCAGGTGGCGCTTGGAGAGAGACCGGTTTGACGAGGCTTTTCAGCTTTTTGAGAGAATACCCCGGAATACTGATTTGAAACGTGGATCTTTTCCACTAATGTTGAAGTGTGTATAAGTGGCACTAGCTGCACTTGTGGCTGATTCTGCCGTTTGGAACAACAGCGATGGAGCGTTCAAAAATAATTTCAAGATATACTTATAAGGATATTGCACTTTTGAATTCATTTTAAGGTTCTCACACTGCATTAAGTGATGAAAAATAAGAAAAAAATTGCTCGAATTTGGCATAATGTTCGTTTGAGAACACATTAAGAAAAGATTTGAAGAAAAAATTTGAGAAATATCTCCCTTGAAAGTCAGTATGTACTTAAATTGGGATAAAAAAAAAACAAGTCAAGTAATTATTACCTCTTATTTTGTTATTTTTTGCAGTGTCGGCAAGAATTTTGACACAATATTGTCTTTTTCCTGTTATGCCAATCTTTGCAGCATCATTTTCAACAGTTATTGAAAAGTTATTTCACAGTTATGCAGTTATATACAGTCTAACCCATAAATATCTATAAAAAAACTCATACATTATCTATATATAGTTCTATCGGGGTCGACACGTCTCAGCAAAAAGGTCCTGGGTTCAATTCCACCTCCAGACAGGGCCTTTCTGAGTGGAGTTTGCATGTTCTCCCTGTGTCTGCGTAGGTTTTCTCCAGGTGCTCCGGTTTCCCCTATATCACTACAAACATGTACAATAGCTCTCCTCTCTCTGCGGCCAGAAAAAGAGATTCTGAAACCTCAGTGGGGCTTTCCTGGTTTGTTTTAAAGGTCAACACAACTGAGACGAACTATTGTATCTGTGTTCCAACTAATCGATTAATCGGAAGAATAATCGATGATCAAAGTTGATTATAATCATTGTGTTTGTTCTGCATGTTCTGATTGTCCTATAGTTCACTGTGTACGAGTTACTGTGTATTCTGTATACAGTCAACTTTAAGCAATCCCACATGTTTCGTTTTGAACTTGCACATGCAGAAGTCGACGTGCAGAGTTGTGTGTTGGTGTTTCTCGCACAGAACAGAACTTGCATCCTCTTTGACCGTTTCATTAGTTTAACCGAATGTGCATGAGACGATGACATCACCGCATCGGGAACGGCAGATGACCCGCTTTGAACGCAGCCCGATGCGTCACGGCTGTAGATGAAGGAATCCTTTCACCTCAGTGCGTTTGATCGGCCGCTCTAATGCCTGCCTCTGTGCTCTTGTCTTGTTCTCCCAGAATGCACAGCGGCTAGGGGGCTCCCAGATGGCACAGTCGCTCTCAACACCGGTGGTCTCCGTGACGACGCCCAGTCTCTTGGCTCCGTTCTCCGGGATACAGGCCTACAACACCGGTGAGTTCTGAGTCGGCCAAGTTACTTCAAAAACATAATACATTATCTATGACTTTTTACTGTTATTTTTAATGTGTTACTATGATATTACTGTCTCTGGATTATACAACCTCACAGCCTCAGCCTTCTTCAACCAGAAAGGTTTGAGACGAGGCTAATATCAGGATCACTATGATGTCACACTGACTTTCAGAACTAAAATATTGCCCAATAATCAGATGAACAATTTCTCAAGTAAATTTATATTCCCTTCAAAGGTATCTCTGTCTCTGTAGCAGGTGATTATAAAGAAAAATAAAAAATAAAATTACACACCTCCTTCTGGTGGTAGCTCAGGGAGTTACAGACTGTGTTTTTGTTTTATGAATTATTCTGATAATCACCATTCATTTATTCACATCACACACATACGTCTTGTACATATTTTTAGTGGTGGGGGGGAACCGGAGCACCCAGAGGAAACCAGGATGCAAACTCCAACACACAGATAGATACATAGATAGATTGATAGATTTGACAGATTGACTTTGATAGATACTTTAGGTAGACAGATACTTAAGATAGATAGATAGATTGATTGATACACTGTAGATAGATAGATACTTAGATAGATACAGTAGATAGACACTAGATAGATAGATAGATAGATAGATAGATAGATACTTAGATAGATAGATAGATAGATACTTAAATAGATAGACAATTAGATAGATACTTCATGTGTCCAGCAGCAGAAACACACCATCTATACAAACATAAATTAATTTAAAAAATCTAAAAGTGACTAACTCAGAAACAAAACCACGTCGCTTATCAGTTCTATATAAGAATCCAGTCAAACTCAACAACGTTTAAACCACACTCAGAAGTCTCCGGCGCTGGTGCAGGCCGGTCCTCAGACAGATGAGGCAGAGATGGGGGGGTTTAGTGTTGTTTTACATCATAGTTTCTGCCGCATCAATATTAATCCGCTCTAATCCATATTAATAGGGACCTTTGAAGTGGAATGGCTCCAGAAGCTCTCTCACAATGAACAAAGTGAATATTCATGGAGCTTTGTGCGGCGCAGCGTGTGAGGCCCGCACTTTTTTACATCCCGCTCGGGAAAAATCTCGTCCCACAATATGGACAATATTTCAGCTGCTTCCACTACTGCTGACTGGCCTCGTTTAAGATGCATTGTGTTCGAGTCGGCAGAAAAGGTAGTTTTGTCAGAAGTCTGTGGAGAATATGAGGACAGCTTTGATTCAAAAAAATGTTATTTGTTTCAAGCGTTGTTAGGTCACTGTTAGCTTGTTGTTAGGTCGCCGTTAGCTTGCTGCTAGCTTGTTGTTAGGTCGCTGTTAGGTTGCTATTTGCTTGCTGTTAACTTGCCGTTAGCTTGCTGTTAGCTTGCTGTTAGGTCACTGTTAGCTTGTTGTTAAGTCGCCGTTAGCTTGCTGTTAGCTTGTTATTAGGTCGTTGTTAAGTTGCTGTTTGCTTGCTGTTAGCTATAAGGTTGCTGTTAGCTTGCTGTTTGGTCGCTGTTAGCTCGCTGTTAGCTTGCTGTTTGGTCGCTGTTAGCTCGCTGTTAGCTTGGCTCCAACCCACGACCATTTGGTCCAAAGACCAGTGCTCTACTAACTGCGCTTCTGTCGCCCCAGAAACAAAATTTTAAATAATAAATAATCACAGTGCACAACATACAGTTAAGATACAATCCCTCAGTTGTTGCAGAGAAACAGAACAGTTTTTAACCTGGATTGGAACTTTGTCAGAGAAGAAGCCTGTCTCACATTTCCAAGAAGACTGTTCTCGATTTTAGCCGCAACAATCTGAAACGCTGCCTCCTCATGTTCAGTCCTAACTTTGGGCACCAGCAGGAGGCCAGTCCCTGTGCTCCTCAGAGTCCCAGCAGGAGGCCAGTCCCTGTGCTCCCCAGAGTCCCAGCAGGAGGCCAGTCCCTGTGCTCCTCAGAGTCCCAGCAGGAGGCCAGTCCCTGTGCTCCCCAGAGTCCCAGCAGGAGGCCAGTCCCTGTGCTCCTCAGAGTCCCAGCAGGAGGCCAGTCCCTGTGCTCCCCAGAGTCCCAGCAGGAGACCAGTCCCTGTGCTCCCCAGAGTCCCAGCAGGAGGCCGGTCCCTGTGCTCCTCAGAGTCCCAGCAGGAGGCCAGTCCCTGTGCTCCCCAGAGTCTGAGTTGGTTCATATGGCACTTATGGAATCCAATTATGCGTTTGAAAACTTTATTGCGTTGTGTTATATATGAATCTGTTGAAGTGACCTTTCGGTGCCTGTGCTGACCCAGTATGCCCTGTGTGTGTGTGTGTGTGTGTGTGTGTGTGTGTGCTTGTGCTTGTGCTTGTGTGTGGGTGTGTGTGTCTCTCTCTGTGTGTGTGTGTATCTGTGCGTTTGTGTGTGGGTGTGTTTGTCTCTCTCTCTGTGTATGTGTGTGTGTCTCTCTCTCTCTCTCTCTCTGTCTCTCTGTGAGTGTGTGTGTGTGTGTCTCTCTCTCTCTCTTTCTCTGTGTGCATACGTGTGTGTGTGTGTAGAGTACCAGCTCATGAGTGCCGACCTCACCGCGCTGCAGACCTTCTCACCCCCGGGCCTGGTGCCTGGCAACATGGCTGCCTGGCAACAGCAGCAGCAGCAGCACCAGCAGCAGGGACAGGCTCAGCATCAGCAGATCAGCCTGGGACCCCTCAGCAACCTCATGTAAGCTCCGCCCCTTTGTTTGTGTTTACTCATGATGTCACAGAGACGCTGGGTCGGTCTCTGTGTTCGGACTCAGGCTGTGGTTGTGTCAAATCTGCTGTAGTTTGAGCACTAGGACCCAGCATTCTGAAACTTCTGGAACTCCCTGAGCAGTCTTTTTGACTGCTCCAGTTCAAATCAGTGGAATTCTGAACAAAGTTTTAGTTTTCTCCTAGTTTCATTAAAAGTAATTTATAATGTTTTTACCTGTTTTTTAAGTGCTAAAGCTGATGAATATAACTGTTATTTAGAAAACAAGTTTGTAGAAAGTCTATTATGCTAACTTTTGACTGTGAATAGTGTGTTGCTATGGTAACTAGCACATGCTATCTCAGCTCCAGGACCGGTCCAGGCCAGACTAGTCCAGGATCAGCACATTGGAGAGAAGTGGCTTTAACTGCCCAAGAATGTTGTTTGCCAAGCGACCCAAAATGGCTTGAACTTGATATTCAAATGCATGAAGCAGTCACAATGACTGCTGGGAGTTAAATGTCTGGGAGTCCTTGTGTTTGCGTCATTCACACTCATTACAGATTGTTTCACACACAGTCACCACCGTCACCACCGTCACCGTCTGTCTCTGACACGCCTTTTCTGTGGCTCTGAGCATTTATACTGTCAAAGAAATGCATTGAGACGCCATCTGCAGGTGAAACCCAGATCCTGTCAGACCTATGATACTAAGCAAGACAGGGCCTGGTTAGTGCTGTGATGGGAGACGTTTGGGAACACCAGGGGCGGCTGCGGCTTTAAAGTGTCAAACTGTAGTACTCTTAGGCAAGACTCTTCACCTGCCTTGAATGAGTCTGTTGTGTTGGTGTTGGTTGGAGGGACCGATGGCACAGACTGGTTCCCTCGCTTTTGTCAGTGTGCCCCAGGGCAGGTGTGGCTACAGTAGTAGTTTATCACCACCGTGTTTGGAGTGAAATAATAATGACATGTGAAGCATCTTTGAGTGTCCTGAAAAGCGGTGTATAAAACCAAAGCAGTATAATTTATGGGGAATAAAATCCAGTACCTCAACTTTAAGAGCTCGGCGACGACTGTGTGTTTTATTGTATTCAAAATCAGTTTATTTGTCATCCCTTCACAGAAAACAATATCAAAACATCAACATACAAAATACATCAGAGATATACTAAAAACATGCACTTACTAAAAAGATTAAAGAGATTGCTTTTCTGTCCAGTACTGAAAGCAGCTTGTGGGACAGAACTGTTAGTGTGATGAGCTGTCCTGCATCTACCACAGGGAAGAAGCTGGAACATGTGGTCAGAAGAGTCAGTGATGAGGATTGCTGGATTCAAACCTCAACCCACACTTTCTCTAACACCTAGCAACTGCACAAAAAAACATGTATTTTTCTTCAAACGCTGACCTCTGACCTGCCTCACGTAGGCGATAGGGCGGCTGTCGCTAACCCGGCCTCGTTAGCGCATTAGCTTGTTAGCTTGTCATCCGTTAGCGAGCACCAGGCTGGAAAAGAGGGCCACAGCATCACCCCAGCTGTGTGCGGATGGTTGATTCATCTTCCTGGTGACCTACATACCACCCCACGCACACGCACGCACGCACATGCACGCACACACACACACACACACACACACACACACACACACACACACACACACACACACACACACACACACGCACACTCACACACACCCTACCCCCCCTGTTCCCACCGGAGTACCACTCTGAATTTGCTCCCTGTATCAAGGCAAGGCTGCGAGCAGTATTACCAGTGGCGACAAAGGCAGGATTTGAGAGAGAGAGAAAAAAGTAGAAAAGAGAAGCTTAATTTTAGTGTTTGGTCAGCGCCTGTGTCTCTCACTTGGTCACGTTTTTAAGCAAGTGCCACCAGTTAAATCCACACTCACTTTAGACTTCCAACAGCAAGAAGTGGATCGTAATGTGTAGTTTAAACAATATGGAAATCTAAACGTGTTTCAATTATGACCATGCAGCCAAAAGAGATGATTTAAACCTGGGAAATCTATTTAATTTACCTAAGTTTTATTACAATTTCAAAAACAGATGCAAAAGTACATACACTGCAAAAACTGCTGATATATGAGGTAATATCTTAATTTGATCACAATAACAACAACTTTTTCTTGTATAGCCCTAAATCACAACAGCATCATCTCAGAGACTTAACAAAACCATTGAAATCACCAACACAGATCAGAGAATCAACAGTTAAGACACAAAATATAAACATATGTATTGGTTCATAGGGAGAGACCAATGTCCATGAATGTTGATAAATGTCATACATGTTGTAGAATGTTAAAGTGTCCTGGATCATCACCACAGTCCTTTTTGTTAGACAATAACTGCCCAACAGACCCTCCTGCATCGGCAAGGAAAAACTCACAAAAACCCATTGGGGAAAAAAGTGAGAAACCTCGGTGAGATCCACATATTGAGAAAGGGATCCGCTCCTACACGGACGGACAGGCTAATGATCCAGGACCTAACCTACAGAACGTGGACCAGTGGCCGCTGAACGTGGACAGGTCCGGTGCAGGACTGAAGCGCTCCCAGGCGGGTCGGGCAGGGCAGTCCGCAGGTGTAGATGGAGGAGGCCAGGTTCAGAGGTCCCGTCGTTGCGCCATGAAACAGACACATTCTGACTGAGCCTTAAAACAAGATTTGCCATTGGGAGAATGAGCAAAATGTTTATAAAAAATACAAAAAAAAATGTCTTCTTTGGAATTAGAAAAAAAAGTTCAAGATTCAAGCAATTATTACCTCTTATTGTATCATTGTTTGCAGTGTCGACCTAACGAATCCTTCCAACTCTTACCTGGCCGAGATTCCATCACTAGTTTTCACATGCCTGGATTTCAACCGTCATAATGTAAACCCTAAAGTACCTGCCTGTGTCACCCTAACCCAGGTATATTTTGGTTGGGATCAGGATACAGGACACACAAAATAGTTCATAGTTGAATAAGGTTATTTGGGTTGTCTTTACCCGACAATTGTAAGGTAATAACATCACGACTTTACAATTTCTCTGCTAACAGAAGAACCAAAACACTTTATCTGACACACACCAGACAGCAGCAGAGCAGAGGACTCTCACCGTCTTTATCCACACTTAAAAACACACAGACTTTCAAAGGAAACTGATTCTGATCTGTTTTCAAATGACACACATTTTTTCTTTACATTTGTTTTAACAGTTTTTAAGAGTTTTACAGTACATGTGCGTCATGTTAATCCAGTACAATCACACCAATCATATGTTATAACACTAATAATAATAAAGTAGTAACAAAACAAAACTAAATTGTAACTACATTTAGAACAGCTAAACACCAAATCAACAAGCTGCATAAATATGTTTCTTAAAGTGCTCTCTACATTTCCTGGTCATTTTTTTGACATTTTAGTTCAAATTAGATCAAATCTCTCTCTTTCAAGCCTAAAACAGTCTGTGTGGCGCCCTCTTTGCCTTTTTGGTGGCACTACATTTGAATTTTGGTCCTGGCCTTTCCATTGGCTCTGGAGTGATGTCAGTTGGTGTGTGTGACATCAGTTGGTGTGTTGGTGTGTGTGACGTCAGTTGGTGTGTGTGACTTCAGTTGGTGTGTGTGACGTCAGTTGGTGTGTTGGTGTGTGTGACGTCAGTTGGTGTGTGTGACGTCAGTTGGTGTGTGTGACGTCAGTTGGTGTGTGTGACGTCAGTTGGTGTGTGTGACGTCAGTTGGTGTGTTGGTGTGTGTGACGTCAGTTGGTGTGTGTGACGTCAGTTGGTGTGTGTGACGTCAGTTGGTGTGTGTGTGACGTCAGTTGGTGTGTGTGACGTCAGTGTGGTGTGTGTGACGTCAGTAGGTGTGTGTGACGTCAGTTGGTGTGTGTGACGTCAGTTGGTGTGTGACGTCAGTTGGTGTGTTAGGGTGTGTGACGTCAGTTGGTGCGTGTGACGTCAGTTGGTGTGTTAGGGTGTGTGACGTCAGTTGGTGCGTGTGACGTCAGTTGGTGTGTGTGACGTGGTTTGTGTGACGTCAATTGGTGTGTGTGACGTCAGTTGGTGTGTTGGTTTGTGTGACGTCAGTTGGTGTGTGTGACGTCAGTTGGTGTGTGTGACGTCAGTTGGTGTGTGTGACGTCAGTTGGTGTGTGTGATCAGTTGGTGTGTGTGACGTCAGTTGGTGTGTGTGACATCAGTTAGTGTGTGTGACGTCAGTTGGTGTGTGTGACGTCAGTTGGTGTGTGTGACGTCAGTTGGTGTGTGTGACGTCAGTTGGTGTGTGTGATCAGTTGGTGTGTGTGACGTCAGTTGGTGTGTGTGACATCAGTTAGTGTGTGTGACGTCAGTTGGTGTTGGTGACGTCAGTTGTGTGTGTGACATCAGTTAGTGTGTGTGACGTCAGTTGGTGTGTGTGACGTCAGTTGTGTGTGTGACGTCAGTTAGTGTGTGAGATCAGTTGGTGTGTAAACTATTGCTTTAAGCAGCAATGACGACCTTTTTGTTTGACATGCGAGCTGTCAATCACAGCCCAGACCACGCCCAACTATAAGCCCCCCCTCTTGTCTCTTGGTGCTCCCGGCAACGCCCTTCTTTAGAGACAATTTTCAACTGTTCATGTGGGCGGAGTCAGGCTGGGCACTGGCGTTTAGTCGCACTTTAACATCACAGACCACCCCCCTAGGACCACCCACACTCACCCTCAACATCCAGCCACAACTGTCCATTCATACCCAGACGAACCAGGGTTTCTTCTTCTTCTTCTTCTTCCTCCTCCTGCAGCGGTGGTTTCTGCTCAGACCCGTGAGTGCTGCTGTTGTGACCTTGGGCAAGGCACTTCACCCCTCTAACCTGTGAACCAGATGTGTTGTGACTGTGAGTGACTGGTGCTTATTAGAGGAGCTGTCAGTGCAGATTGGCAGGCTGCTGGTGTCAGGCTTTAGCCCAGGGAAGCCGCGGCGACAGCCGGGAAAAAAACA